ACCTCTGATTTGGGATTTTTGTAAATTGGAAAACACTAGTTTGAATAGTTGGACAAGTGTTAGACACTTAGACTTAAGTATTAATACTAGCTTTGTATAATTGTGTTAAGAACTTAAGATTGACTTTGAGAAAATAAAAATATTAAAAATTAGTATTTGATTTTATCAGATATGTGTGACAGTGTGAGTGAGATTGTTTGTGTTGGTGTTCTTTGTGAATCAATTGTGATGTAATGACATATTAATGATTTATTAGGTGATTTTTATGGAATCATAGTAAAGGCGGATGTTTTTTCTTGATGGGTATGACTAATTGACAATGAAATAGGAAAAGAGAAAATTTAATGAAGTGAATTTCTTGTTCTCTATTTTTATATTTTGGATGTTGGCAGGGCCTTTTTTGGGTCATTTTGGATGGTTTGGTTGCCAGTTCAGGGGTTGTTTTGGTTGCTTTGTTTTCTTTCTCATGTATTTAGTTTGCTGTTAGGCTTGTTGTTTGGAGGGGGAGATGGTGATGTAACTCCCCCATTATGTGTATGTGTCTTGTTTCTCCCTTGTCATCTTAATTCTTATCTAAATGATAATCGTTATCTATATTTCTCATTTCTGATTTTAGATAATATGAAGAAGAGAAAGACTATTGATAGTTTTTTCAAGCCGCTTGGTTCAACTGCTAATTGTATCGAATCGATTAGAAGCCGAGGCTGCCAATGTAACGTGGAAGGGGATGCAGCTGTTGATGGGGATGATCATGTAGAAAATCCTAATAATCAGACTAGTGCTAACGTTGAGCCAAATCAACCAATGGAAGAGGAGCCTGAGGTTGCCAATCCTGAGCGTGAACAAATTGTAGCTACTAGATTTGAGAGAGATCCTGGTAAACGTGTTCAAATATTGGATCTGCCAACTGATCAACAAGATGAAGCTAGAAGATTTTATATTTCAGAGGGCCCATATCAACTAGAGTTGACAGAGTACGAACCATGTGAATTGGCTCATGGTCGTCGATTTCAGAGCAGTTGGTTCAAGAAATTTCATTGGCTAGAATATTCACCTCACACAAATCGTGCTTACTGCCTGCCATGTTTTTTATTTTCCAAGAAGCCAACTGGGAAATCAGGATCATATGCATTCATAGTCAATGGATTTCAGAACTGGAAGAAAGTTAATCGTGGAAAAGAATGTTCTTTTCTAAAACACATGGGGGATGTCGACTCAGCTCATAATTATTCAGTTCAATGTTTTGTTAATCTTAAAAACGAAATGGCTCAAATTGACAATCAGATGCTTCAAAAGAAAAAGGCAATGTTTGCATCAGGAAGACTAAGGCTTGCGGCTACAATTGATTGCATTAGGTAACAAAAATTTCCAAGTCTCTTTTTTATTTTTGCAACTAGTTATATGTGTTTGGCAGCTTGAGTATTTAATTTTAACTTGTCTTGTTTATATGCTTTATCCTTAGGTGGTTGGCATTTCAAGGATGCCCCTTTAGAGGCCATGATGAATCTCTAAGTTCCTCAAATAGGGGTTATTTTCTTGAAATGATCAAGATGTTGGCTTTGTATAACAAGGATGTCAATGACGTTGTGCTAGAAAATGCTCCCAGAAATGCAAAATACACTTCACCTGATGTCCAAAAGGAAATTCTAAGCATATATGCTCGAAAAGTTCAGAAATCAATTAGAGAATAAATTGGGAGCAGCGAGTTTTGCATAATGGTTGATGAAGCTCGAGATGAGTCCAAAAAAGAGCAAATGGCAATAGTCCTCCGATTTGTCAACAGGGAAGGACTTATAAAGGAGCGTTTCCTTGACCTTATCCATGTTAATGACACTACTGCTTTGACCCTTAAAGAGTCTATTTGTGCTGTCCTCTCAGCTAATGGCCTAAGTATACAAGATATAAGAGGACAAGGTTACGATGGGGCCAGTAACATGCGAGGGGAGTGGAACGGATTGAAAGCTCTTATTCTCAATGAGTGCCCGTATGCATATTATATTCATTGCATGGCTCATCAACTTCAGTTGGCCCTTGTAGCAGCATCAAGGGAGGTACATGAGGTACACAATTTTTTTCAGCATGCCAATTTCATCATAAATGTTGTTAGTGCTTCTCCTAAGCGCAATGATGAATTGCTAGCAAATCAAGCAGAACAAATTGCCCGTGAAATTGAATTAGAAGAGCTTGACACAGGGCGAGGGGCAAATCAGATATCCTCCCTACAAAGGCCAGGGGACACGAGATGGAGTTCCCACTATAGGTCTATTCTGAGCTTGAAGAAAATGTTTGGTGTCACAATTTCAGTCCTACGCAACATTGCTAATGATCGTTCAGTTTCAAAGTATTCTCGGGGAGATGCTAGTGGTGCCTTACGAATTATTGTCACATTTGATTTTGTGTTTATTCTACTCCTAATGGAGAAGATTATGAAGATCACTGATGTGTTATGTCAGACACTCCAAAAGAAGAATATTGATATCTTAAATGCGGTGGATTCTGTTTCTACCACAAAAGTGCTGCTTGGTGAGTTGCGAAATAATGGCTGGGAATCTCTTCTTGATTAGGTGAAACTGTTTTGTGGAAAGCACGAGATTGATATTCCAGATTTGAGTAAGAAGTATGTTGATGTGACTAAATCTCGAAACAAGAATGACAACACCACAGCCTTTCACCATTACAAAGTAGATGTTTTCAATGTTGCAATTGATCAAGAATTAGCAGAGTTAGAAGATCGGTTTAGTTCTCAAGATACAGAGCTTTTGTCCCTTTGTGCTTCTTTGGATCCTAGGCTGGAGACATTTAATATAGCCAATATATGCACTCTTGTGGAAAAATATTATCCTGCTGATTTCTCAAGTCAAGAAAGAGCTCAATTGGAGTGTCAGCTGCCACATTTTCAAATTGATGTATGCAACCATCCACAACTAAAGGATTTACGAACACTTGCAGATCTAACAAGTGGACTATTTAAAACAGGTAAATATGCATCTTATCCTATGGTGGATAGGTTGTTAAGATTGATATTAACTCTTCCAGTATCAACTGCAACCACCGAAAGATGCTTTTCAGCTATGAAAATTGTGAAGACACGTCTTCGATGTGCAATGGGAGATGGATTCTTGCGAGATTGTTTGGTACTTTATATTGAGAAAGAATTGGCTGCATCAATTGGTACGGATGAACTTATTAAAGCCTATGATCTTGCTGGTAGTCGTAGAGCAAAATTTAAGATAATAGAAATGTAATTTTGTTTTGGTTAAGACTTGTGAAACATGCTACTATTATATATGACTGAAACCATGTGATGTGGCTATTAGTTCTACTTTACTTTGTTCATTGTCCCCCCCATACTTGAATCCTGGCTCCGCCCCTGTAGGTAACACTTAGATTCCGGGGGATTGTCACTTACCCAAACACCACAGGACCTAACAGGCCTAGAGACAAGCAAAAAAGACTAGTCAATGCCACTGCCGGCCTAGTTAATCTTCAAAACACTAAGCTTAAAAAAAA